AACCCGACATGGGGCTCGAACTCACAAACCACAAGATCATGACCTGAGCCAAAGTTGGCGCTTAACCGACTGAGCCACCCAGGCACCCCCATCCCCATTTCCTATTTTTAACACTGATTTTCAAGGAATAAAATTTCTATTAGGAAAATACAACATAATAGATTTGGTAAAGATCATTTGGAGGTAGTTTATAGAAGAATTACCAATTTAAGACTCATTATTAATTTGTTACATTTCAGGCCTTTGGTCAATGGCTCTTATGTATGTAATGTAAGGTACACGTTACCTTAAGAAAGATAATAAAACTATGTGAACCTGTACAACTGACAAAGCCCCCAGGATTGCTAGCTATTGTTGGTAACACAACACTTGACCACAGGGCAGCACACGTGTGCACCCAGTGGGTCTCTACTGGCTGTCGGCTTATTCCCTCTGCAAACACCGTGGAGGTCTCCCGTGGTTCTGTTTTCTGCAGTGAAACATGGGAATCCACACTTATTTTAAAACATAACCAGAAAAAAGTGCCATTGCTGTCTTTAACGTGAGTTCCCTAGACTGCCTTTGTGGACGCCAGGGATTCCAAATCACCACCTGGAAAGTGTAACTTTCCTGACTCCACAACTTTAATGAACTTGGCAATTAGAATTCAATACATGCACATCTACTCCAACCTAAAACCAAAAATTGCCTGTTTACAATGTCCCTCCTCATCCATTTCCCTGTCCCCTGCCGTTTGGTCTGTGTCTCTTGCTTCCTCAGTGCTTCCCACTCTCCTCTGCCGACAGACCTCGTGAGAAAGCGGCTCAAATTTGCTGTGCCACTTTTCCAGCTCACGCTACCTTTTCAGCCCAGCAGGGTTGCCATACACTGCTACCAACAATACTTACGTTCGTGTGACCAGTGCCATGTCCATGTCACCAAGTCCACTGGATAGTTTGAGTCACTCAATCCCTCAGCACATCTGGCCGAGCCCTCCTCTTTCCTGAGGCACTTGCATCCCTCGGAACACATGACAGCATGCTCTTCCGGCTTTCCACTTACTTCCCAGGTTACTTGTCTTCAAGTCTTTTACCAACCTCTACCTTATCTCTGAAAATGCCCATGTTCTTTAGGGTCCAGCAAGCCCTTTTTCCTTCTTATTGTATTCTCCCTCTAGGCGATCCACTACATCATTTACTCCCAAGGTTTCAAATATCCTCGATGCGCCGATGGAGACTTCTATCGCCAGCCCAGACCTGTCTCCTAAGCTGAGTCTCTGTGGCCACCTGTTTATCTGACCTTTCCATTTGGATGAGGCATCGGCATGCTGAGTTCCACAGAGTCAAACTTAACACTTGGTCTCCTCCCAAAACCAAGCCATCTCCACTGCAAACCTGCTTCTTTTGCGCATGTCCTCTAAGTGGCACCACTAGGTACCCATTGCTCAACTCAGAAATATGGGTATTATCCTTGATGTCCCCCATGACCACCCAACAGAGCCGACCAATTATTAAGTCCTGTTGATTTCACCTCCTACACGTTTCTACAATCTCTTTACTTCTCTCCATCATTATCACCATCACATCAAGCCCAAGCCATTATCACTAACCTCTCCTGGAGCTCCCTAACTGGAGCTCATGTAAATACTGTGGCTCTGCTCTAACGTATGATCTACTCAGGACCTAGAAAGCTGATTTTTTAATGTTTATTTATTCTGGGGGCAGGGGAGGGACAGAGAGAGAGAGGGAGACAGAGGATCTGAAGCAGGCTCTGCACTGTCAGCAGAGGGGCTAGAACTCACGACCTGTGAGATCTTGACCTGAGACGAAACCAAGAGTTGGACCCTTAACCGACTGAACCACCCAGGTGCCCCTGGAATGCTATTTTTTTAATGGAAATTTGATCACATCATTCTTTTAAAACCAACAACACTTTTAATTATTTCTGCTCTTTTTTTTTTTTTTAATTTTTTTTTCAACGTTTATTTATTTTTGGGACAGAGAGAGACAGAGCATGAACGGGGGAGGGGCAGAGAGAGAGAGGGAGACAACAGAATCGGAAACAGGCTCCAGGCTCCGAGCCATCAGCCCAGAGCCCGACGCGGGGCTCGAACTCACGGACCGCAAGATCGTGACCTGGCTGAAGTCGGACGCTTAACCGACTGCACCACCCAGGCGCCCCTAATTATTTCTGCTCTTTACTAAAAGGATAAAGCTAAAGGTTTGTAATAAAAACTTAACGGCCCTGCCATTAGGTCTGGCCCTCACCTGCCTCTCCAACCTCACCTGTGTTGTTCTTTCCCTTTGTTAAACACACACATTTCTTTCCTTCCTCAGGAGTCCTACCTCAGGATGTTCAATTTTACAGTTTTCTTTTCCCTCGAACAGGAGCTGGTAAACTTTTTTTAGGAAAAGACCAAAGAGCAAATATTTTAGGCTTCGTGGGCCAGTAGGTCACAGTCTGACTCAAGCACTCAGCTCTTATAGCACAGTCTGACTCAGCACAGATAGCACGTGGATAAGCCACACACAATGGGCTGTGGGCTGGGGCACAGTTTGCCAACTCCTGTTCTAGAAAGCTAGACACCCCTATCCCGACACTTACAGATTCATTTCAAGTACCATTTTCCTCACTGAAACTCTTCCTGATCAGGCTAAGCCCTCTTATTTGATGTGCTTTTACCTACCAAGTACATTTCTCTTTCATAGAACGAATTGCTATCACGACTAATTAGATATTTGTGAAAGTCTTTTGTCTATATCCATCTTCCCTGTAAGTCTGTAAATTCCATGACACTGGGGACTATATTTACTTTACTGTTTTATTCCCAGCATGTGGTGGAGAACACGACAGTCAGTAGCAATCAATAAATATTTGTTGAATGAATGAATGATTAATTTGCTATCTGACCTTTAGCTGGCAACTGTTTCTTTTTGAGCCTTAGTTCTCCATCTGGAAATGGATGATAGTAACAGCTTAGAACAGATAGAAACAGGTTTGTTTCAAGGTGAGATAACATGGGTGAGTGCATTTTGTGAAATCTAATACAAATTTAGGGGGAAAAAAACAAGAAAGATGCCTTGATTGCCTAGTATGGGGTACACTGTAGCTCAAGGGGCAGGACAAATCCTCTGGTGGGATTTGCTGGCCCTCCAGCTAAGAAAGCTTTTGCTCTCTTAAGAGGCTGGAAAAAACCAAAACAGAGGGGTGCTGGAGTGGCTCAGTTGGTTAAGAGTCTGACTTTGGTTCAGGTCATGATCTTGCAGTTCCTGAGTTTGAGCCCCGTGTTGGGCTCTGTGCTGACAGCTTAGAGCCCGGAGCCTGGTTCAGATTCTGTGTCTCCCTCTCTATCTGCCCCTCCTCTGCTCACACTCCGTGTCTGTTTCTCAAAAATGAATAAACGTTAAAAAAATTTATTTTTTGAAAAAACAAAAACAGAAATGAAACAAAGAACTGTGTGACAGAAAGCACGTGTGGCCCACAAAACCTAAAATATTTTAGTCTGGCCTAGAACGGTGTCTGAGATTAAGTAAATGTTTTAATCAGTAAATAAATGAACAATTAATGGTTTCCAAAAACACTCATATTTTAATATTTTGGTGACTAAAAGGCGGTGCCATTTTCTGACTCCCTTTCTTTTCTTCAGTGCAGCAAGTGATCAAAATTGTAAACTACCCCCTCCCCAAAGGCTCTATGTTGACTTTAAATTTAACAGACAAGGGGCGCCTGGGTGGCGCAGTCGGTTAAGCGTCCGACTTCAGCCAGGTCACGATCTCGCGGTCCGTGAGTTCGAGCCCCGCGTCGGGCTCTGGGCTGATGGCTCAGAGCCTGGAGCCTGTTTCGGATTCTGTTGTCTCCCTCTCTCTCTGCCCCTCCCCCGTTCATGCTCTGTCTCTCTCTGTCCCAAAAATAAATAAAAAACGTTGAAAAAAAAAATTAAAAAAAAATGTTTAAAAAAAAAATTTAACAGACAAAATAAAAAGAGTCTACAAGCATTTGCATTTTCCTCTCAATTATATCAACAGTTGCTTTTGAAGCAGAGAAGGTGTGGGGTGTCAGGGAGGTGGGATAGGAACGGGGACCTGGGGGCCCAGAAAACCACTGGAAAAGCTGGCTGTCGTGTTACACATGGGATTGCCATGTGGAGTCTAAATCGGCAGCAACCAATTCATCGTGTGGTGGACATTATTGAGTTTTTTTCCCATGGGGAATCCATCATTATATAGAAATTATAAACCAAACATTTACAGGAAATGATAAGGAGCTGGGTTTATTACAAAATAATAGTGCACAAATGGAAAGGGATTTGGACTCAAAAGATCAGGCTTCAAGTCTGAACTCTACTACTTACTCAACCTACCACTGGGAGCAAATCCATTAGTGTCTCTCTGAGCTTGTGTTTCTTCATCTAGAAAAAGGGAGTCAATATCATTGGTGCCATTCAGTGGGTGGCCATTGGGAGCTTTACATACATTTGATCTTTATATCAAGCTGCAAACTGGCCATTACTAGCCCCAAAATACAGATGAAGAAACCGATGCTCAGAGAGGTCAAGGAACTTGCTCAAAGTGATACCACCAGGAAGAACCAAGAGGTGTGGAGTCAAAGCCTGACTCGAGCAACACTACCAGTGAAACCTCTGATTAAGATATTTAAACTTCTTGGGCCTTGTACATGTCTTATCTCACAAAACACACGTGAAGCCTAATTTCTATGAAATTCCTCCATATTAAGTTACCGACTTAGACCTTAAAGGTAGATGTTTTCCTACAAAGTTCTCTCTTAAACCTAACTCTATGTCTCTAGAACAGTAAAAAGGGGATATGCTCTCCCTTCTGTGTATCATAAGAACAACTTAAGTTGAGAAAGCACTAATGCTTAAGAGTATTGGATTTCAAGCATGTCTTTTGAGTACCACAGTGACCATGAATTCTATTTATTCCACATCGATTCCCATCCTGCTTTTGAACCAACCCCCTTTTAATATACGGTATGTCAGTTGATTATTAAATCTTTATTACCTTTGCTTCATTATCTCATGTAGTCTCCCATGTTGGACACACTGTTTCTCCAATTCATCATTTCTTCTCTGTAACTTTTCCAGTTTGTCATACGTATACCTTTTCTCTTGACTGAGCTGAGCTATTTCAGATCTAGAGAGGTGAACACACAGAAATGACAAGGTGTTAAAGGTTCTTACCACCAGAGCATGTTTTTACTGTATAACCTTAGCATCACCTTCAACTCCATACTTAAACATAACAATGTGAAGACAAGTTATTTTATATAAAACAGAATATCTCAGAAATTGCAAACTGTCTAGTGGAGACATACAATGCATTCAGGGACTCAAGTGGTGGGTAGAGAAAGGAATAAAAACTTGCTCCGAAAGACATGGCGTCTTCAAGGAGCGACACAAGAGTGATCATGACTCGTATTCAGACCCAATATTTGTCGAGTGCCTATCACAGGCCAGCTACCATGCTGTTAAAGGAGCAACCCCAGATCCCATCTCTATGACGGGGAGTTGTTTCTTTTAATTAACATAGCTAATGCAATGGCACATGATTTAAGTCCTATAGTTCCAAAAGGCATAATAATGAAAAATGGCACTCCTCTATCCCCGACCCCATCTCCAGCTTCTCAGTGTAACTACTAGTATTTCAGTGTGTGGTTAAATCAAGATCTCTATTTACATTCTGTGGCTACCTGAATATTGGTCATTGCTGGCTAAGTAGTTTATTATGTCAGTGGGCTTTAGGGTAGGGTGACAGAACGTGAAGCCATCTTATCCAGTGGGAGATTTTTAGTATCAGTGTCTATAATTCTTTCCTCTGTGGCCATTCGGCTTCTCAACAGAAGAATCCTCCTGTTCCCTGCTTATTGTGTATAACACTAACCAGCAGTGTTCTAGGGGCTGGTTGGAAGTAGAGAGGTAGGGATCTCACCTTTCAGAATGCAGACTTTCTATTAATTTCTCTCATCTCCCCTTCAGTGCCCCTCTTTTAACCAGAGCCTGCTGGTTTAAGCTCTTCAGAGAGGAAGGCCCTAATTTCCTGGGTGGAGAAGGACAGTCACTGGCTGCATGGGGTGGGGGTGCAACTGTCAATTTTGCTTTCAGTCCTAAGTTCCACTTCTGCCTTCCAAGTTTTTCTGGAATCCTGAGAGCAGATCAGCTTGCTTCACAAAGAAGTGCCCCTCTGTAGACACTGAAGCCTCACCTTCCTCCACTTTGCTACAACAGGTACCATTTCCCTGTCTTCTTTCTGTCTTCACATATTTCATTTTTGGGATCACAGATATGTACTCTGGTGATGATTAATGTCCCTCAGGAAACACGCTTGCTGCCTCTTCTGTATCGTGGAGGATTAGCTCAAGTCTCAAAATGTGAAGATCAGAAAGATATCTCTCCGAGAAAAACTGTATCCCTGTCCTTGATTTAGATAAACCTTGCTCCTGTGGTCACCACCTCCTCATGTTCCACTGCCCCACAGACTGGAACTGAAAGTTTAAAATTCTTGCAATTAAAATACGAGCAGTTAATGACTGGTTTGTTTCTTGAAGTTCAAGTAAGACACTTGATGCAGAACCATGTCCCTCCAAAGAAAGGATTCCTCCTCCATTAGGTGAGAGAGTCTTTTCTTCCCGGTCAAGAGAAGAGGTGGGTTTGCTCCGCATCATTGGAAGGACCAAGCGGTGTCACTGTACCAAGCAATTTGTCACTCTGTGTTCACCTCATTCCCCATTTTGTTTTCGTCTTGATTCAAGCGTCACCTCAAAGGAAGCTCGCCCTGATTAATACTTTGCAGTTCTCAACGTGTCAGCACATTTTTTTGAAACTACCTCTGGCTTTTACTCATACATTAGCTTATCATTTATTCCTCTGAATTGTGCCCTATGCCTCATCTTTCTTACTAGATTATACATGAGGGCCGGGATTATCTCATTTTCGAGCTTAGATCAAGTACTCGATCTACATTTGCTTCTTCTAATAAGAATTCACCTGTATTTGAAATAGTCTAAATCAGTCAATAATGGTTTAGGTTTCTCCTTTCAAAATCACATACAATATACGAGAATGTAATGCAGTTATAAGACATTGTTAGTGTTCTTGCAAGATAGTGTCTCCTATCACAACAAGGGCTATGCGCTGAAATTAATCCCCAAAAGACAAAAAATATCCTTAAACCTGATTAGGAAAACATGCAGAAGAATGTCTGTTCTCAGGTACTTCCCCAGAAAAAAGTCCCTTTTTAAAAGAATAATCATAAAGGAAACATAGACTTTACATTATAAAAATATAAAACCTTTACACACAAAAAATCATAATGTTCATAGTAGCATCCTTTCTAGCAGCAGTCTTGCTCTGCAACCCAGTATCTGCAAACTTAACCCAGAAATATGTCAACAGAAGACTGGTTACGTTACTTATGCAAAGGAATATCAAGAGGCTATTCTGACAGTGTGACTGTTAGTGTTATTCATTGACCTAAAAATATGATATACTGGTAAGAAAGGAAAATAAGTAAAAATCAGCATATAATCAAAAATATTTTTTTAATTAAAAAATTTTTTAATGTTTTATTTTATATTTGAGAGAGTGAGCATGAGTGGTGGAGGGGCAGAGAGTGAGGGACACACAGAATCCGAAGCAGGCTCCAGGCTCTGAGCTGTCAGCACGGAGCCCGATGCGGGGCTTGAACTCATGAACTGCGAGATCATGACCTGAGCCGAAGTCGGACACTCAACTGACTGAGCCACCCAGGATCCCCTAATCAAAAATATTTTGATGTGTATATCATATATTAGTATTGACTATCTCTAGGTGTCAGAATTAGGAATTTTTTTAAATTTATTTTCCTTTCCCGTATTTTTTGAATTTTTGCAATGGATACCTATTTAAGACAAAAAATAAAGTCATGTTAGCTGAACCTACTGTGGTAATCATTTCACAATACATGTAAATCAAAGCATCATGCTGTACGTCTTAAACTTATACTGATGCACATCAAATATACCTCAATAAACCTGGAAAAAAAATTTTGAAAGTCACGCTGATTTTGAAAAAAATTCATGAAAAACAAAAGGAACTGGGAACAAAATTTGCAAAATTAAAAAAAGAAATGGGAACACATAAGAAACCTAATCTAAACGATTAGAGGCATCATTTAATAAAGTGCTGTCCCACTCTCCATCAAAATTCCAATTAAAAACAAATACAGAGAGGGCACCTCGGTGACTCAGTCGGTTAAGCGACCGACTTCGGCTCAGGTCATGATCTCATGGTTCGTGAGTTCGAGCCTAGCCTTGGGCTCTGTGCTGAGAGCTCGGAGCCTGGAGCTTGCTTCAGATTCTGTGTCTCCCCTCTCTCTCTGCCCTCCTCTGCTCACATTCTGTCTGTCTCTCTCCCTCTGAAAAATAAATAAACATTAAAAAAAAACAAATATGGAGAATATAAAACAAATGTTCACAGAGGATGAAACAGAAATGGCCAATAAACATTTATAAAATATACAATTTCCACTAGTACTCAAAGAAACGCATAATAAAATCGGATTCTGGTTGAGTATTTATTGCACGCCGACTCTCCACCAGGTAGTGGAATCCATCCTTCATATTAATGATGGCAATTAATTCCTCAGGGCAAGTGTTTCTTTCCTTTTCTCTGTGAGGTAAATAGGAGGTTTAATGATTTGCCTGAGGTCACCGGAATGGTGATTAGCCCCGCCCAGATACAAACACTGGCCTATCCAGCTCTAAAGGGGCTGTCTGGCCCACCATGCAATATTGCCTCTCACTTTTCCTTTCTTAAATCTCTCACTTTTTCTTGTCACATACTGAGATGGGTACATATGTACTGAGAAGAATTTAGCGTAGTACTTGAGCAAAGTCGTACACACTAATAGCCTTCAAAGGCTTCCTGTGATTGAAACAGAAACAAAAAAAAAGGTTTATTGTTTTTGGACGAATGATCCCCTTTTAGGGTATCTCAACTAAGGGGATCATCAAAAATTCAGAATTATGGACAAGATTATTATTATTCATTACAGTTAAAAACCAGAAACATCTTAAATGTCTAATGAATTATGCATACAAATGGCTACATTACAACTGTTTCCAGAGTAGTGATGTAGACACGCATGTTCATTGGATAATATATGCAGTGTAACTCACTCACCAGGTAAACGTACACGTACAGACACATTTACATCCACACGCAAATTCACTGAAAGGAAGTATGCCACAGGTTAACAATAGTTAGCTGGATGGTGATGTCACAGGATATTTTTTTCTTTTTTTTTTTTTAATTAAAAAAAAATTAAAAAAACATTTTTTTTACTGTTTTTTTATTTCTGAGACAGAGAGAGACAGAGCATGAGTGGGGGAGGGGCAGGGAGCGAGGGAGACACAGAATCAGAAGCAGGCTCCAGCTGTCAGCACAGAGCCCGATGTGGGGCTCGAACTCATGAGCTGTGAGATTATGACTTGAGCCGAAGTTGGATGCTTAACTGACTGAGCCACCTTGTAGTTATAGCCAAATGCTCTATGAGGTTGTCTTACATGACCACAAAAATATAAATGTTATCTTGTAAAAGTATATACTATTACCAGGTATTTTATCGCTAGAATATTTTTTTCTGCTCTACATATTTTTGGGTTTTTTTTTTTTTTCCCCTTTGCTGAAAATGCTGATCTGACTTCCAAGTTCCAGTGTTCGATAAAAACTTTGTAAGTGTACACAGACATCATCTCTTGTCTATCTGGGGCCCATGATACACTGAAAGAAATAGATTGCAAAGTTCAGAGAGTAAACTTCCGGCACAAGTTTCTGTGTTAGTCTGAGATTACATTTGTGGCACGGTTATCCAGTGTCATATAAAAGAACAGATGACTCTAACGCATTTTCACCGAAAATTTAGGTAATTTCTGGCTTCATAGAAGCATGAACTTTCCCCTGCATTTTTATACACCAGTTATATTGTGTAATTGCATTTGCATGAAGTATGATATTTTACTACTATAATTAGGATTACAGCAATAACTGTTTTTTAAGGGAAAACACGACCCCGTCATTTTTTATTCTTTTAGATTCTCACTCGGCTTTTGGTGACAATTAGCAGAGGTCAGTATCAGTCGTTCCTTGTAGAATATA